TGTGTCTTTACCATGTTAAGTAGATCAAATCTGTAGGCAAGTAAGGTGGATGATTTGATGGACAAAAGCTGTGACTTTGCAAGGCAGCATGATGGAGAGAAAGAGGAAGAAGGAACTAAAGATTCTCAGGATTTTATTATAGTAGAATGTGGAATTTAAGCTGCAAAGGAAAGAAGTGAAGGCACACTGGGAGTGATGGATTGTGGGGTAGTGGTGGTGACTGGTTTGAAGCCAACAGTGCTAAAGATGCTTGATTCAAGGTAAATGATGGATGCAGCCTTAGTGCATGAGCTTAAGGAACAGAAATTAGTGGTCAGGGATGAGGTATTTTATCTAGGCATTTGTGCATAAACTGACCAATGGATGATTTAAAAAGTGGCCATCTCGTTTTTGCTAGATATTCCTTGAACAAAAATTGAAATGGAGGTTACATCCTACGAGGAGGTGGCAGGCCACAGGTTTACCTTACTCAAGGACTAAGCTCTGGGAAGACAATGAAGGCGGATGAAAGGGGAAAATAAAGTGACAGGAAGTGCTAATTTGGAAGGACACTTGGGATTTCTTCTCAGTGGAAGTGACAGTTGAGCTGAGGTCTGAATAAAACAAAGGAATGTATGAGTCACTGAGTATCTAGGGAAGAGTGTGCTGATGCAAAAGCCAGAGAGAAAAATGAGCAGAGAATGTCCCAGGAAGTGGGGAAGGCTAATGAGGGAAAGCAGAGGGAGGGATGAAAGAGGTGAAAGGTGGGAGGGGCAGGAAGAGAAGTTTGTTTTTGGCTAAAGGGTGGTAAGAAGCCACGGGAGGTGACAGAGTTCCTGCTGCTCATCAACTTGAAGGTGTGAATGAGAATGAGTCATACCTGAAGGGCTAGAGAAAATGCTGGTTGGTGGCAAAGAGTCAAGGTTTCGGATAAAATCTTTATCTGTGCACTGGTGTTTTCTTTACACGGATGTCAAAATCACTGATGATGATAGAACTGCAAGTGCAGAGGGGGACAATAAGTCAGGAATTGACAAGTGTTGTGTTCTGTGAACGGTAGGGCTAGGGAAGGAATAGAAATAGTGAATGGCAAGAGGGAAAAGGGAGATGTAGTAGGCTATCTAGATATGAGTTTTCAAAGGAGCAAATGGTTCTGAAGGAGGATAAGCCATCTCTAAGTATTTGTGTGCATCAAGAAAGTTACCTATCATTATCTTTCCTGCGAATAGGTGGTATTTGAAATAGGTGGGAGAGGGCTTCAAGAGAAAGATTTTCAAGGGGCAACTGACTTACTGTTCATACGAAGCAGCTAAGTTCTCCTTAGAAAGGGGTTAGGTAGGGCTGGAGGCATAGCTCAATGGTAGAGTGCCTGACTAATAAATGCAAGGCCCTGAGTTCAAACCTATTACTGAAAAAAAGGTTTCAGGAGGGCTCTCAATGAGGAGCCTATAGTTTCTCAGGGGCTATGGCTGCAGACATTTTTTTGCCTGTTGCAGCTTCTAATGGGGTGGTTTTACTACGTGTCTAGTGGTAGTGACCAAAGCTGCTGGGACTAACACAGAACAACCACCTCAACCATATAGAATTACGTGCTTCAGGACAGTAGAGTCATGGTAGGGAAATCCTGGATGAAAGACTTATGGATATTTTCTTATCATCAAACTCTACTTCCAGTAAGTTTTACTCTCAGCTCTTCCAAATTGTTTCATAATCCTTTCATGCTTGTTGTGCATATGTACTTTTGGTTTGTTGAATTCACACATTTACAAGATCCCATTTTCCTCATTTTTCATTGCACAGCATCTCCATTGTAGGAATAATAATATGTTAATTTTTGATGCTACCAGTCCTTTCATATCATCTGCACAACGGATATAATACTATGATCATTGATACTTGAGAATTGAGGGATGTAGTTTCCTAGTTCTCATGAGGCATAAACAAACTTGAATCTCCAAACTCCAGAACCTAAGGCAGTGTTTGTGATTAGTTCTGTTTTATAGACAGAAATAGGAAGAGGCCTGAAAATAGCGTTCTTACTGTCTTGCACATTTATGTTTGAGATTCAGAGCCTAGAATGTAATTGTGGGAGGATGCTTGCCTAGCGAGGTAAAAGGCCCTGGTTTAGACTCCCAGAGTAGCAAAGCAAGTAACAACAGCAAAAAAAAAAGTATTTCTTATATTGAAATTGTAAGTCAGAATCTAGTTTTGTATTGCTCCAAGCTAAGATTGCCTGTTACGGTTTTCTTTGTGCAGGTTCTGGGATTTGCTCGTTTAGCTTTTTCCTTTCATACTTGACTCTACTACTTCAGCTACACCTCCATTTCTAGCTTTTTGCTGGTTATTTAGAGATAAGACTCGTGTGGATTAGTCCATCCTGGACAGCACCAAAAAAAAAAAAATCTCAGCCTCCTGAATAGCTAGGATTATGGGCATGAGCCACCTGTGTTTGGTTCGACTGTTAGGTTTTAAGAGATGCTTTAAAGCAAAACCTAACCATGAAATAATGTGCAACAACAACTTGATGTTGCCCTCAAAGACAAGAAGCAGAACTTGATGATATAGCTTGATAGGCTATTGGTAGATGGTGTATTCTAGGTGTTACTCCATTCTTTGAGTAGACTGTAACATTAGCACAATATGCCAGCAGTGGAAAAGGAATAAACAGAAACAAGGAGGTACAATGAAAGACTTTTATTTTGAGAGAAAGAGGCTTCTCATTAGAAGTAAGTACATTCATGAAGGTTGATGTGGACCTTCACAGAAGCTATTGGAGTTTTACTGTTCTCTAGGATGGATATTGGGTTTGCAAGGCGGTGTTAAATGAAGGCCCTCACTTTCGTGGCACCTCCCCAAATCATTGTAAAACTTGCAGTCATGGCCCAGGCACACTTTGAGGAAGGTGAGGCTAGTCTCCTGGGCATTTGACCCCCTTTGCTTTCCTTGGTTTAGGGTTGCCAGGAAGGAGATGGTGATCCTTAGACCCTCAAAGCACTCTGTGATTTGGGCAGTTAGCTCCATAAGGAGGAGAGGGCCATTATCAGGATGGTTGGTCCAGGGTGCAGGTCATTTGGGGTTTTATTAGTCATTCTCCTCAAAGGGGAATGGAATCTGGTAGCCTTAGATGTTTCCTTGCTCCAAATCATGTCTCCCTGTCTGCCTGCACTAACCATATTTTGCTTCCATTTTGTGAGATTTCATTTCCAGTTCCTACCACCAGAATTAAGGTCTGGCTAGTTGACCTAGAACTTGCCAATTAAGAAGAGAGATGAGTGATGAGAAAAAAAAGTGACTTTATTAAAGACATAAATCTCATTAATCTTCAGCAAATTAATGCTTCGTGCTATTGATGACATACTGTTTACCACTGAACCAATGAAATGAGTGGGCGATGCACAGGTCACTGGATGCTGTGGACTGTAAACACAGAGGATTTTGAAGTTAATATCTTAACTATTCAGGCAATCTCCTTATTTATGCCAGCAAAGAAGAGGGGATGTTAGAGGATTAAAGAAGGGCAGAAGGGTACCAGGAAGCCAAAGAGAGAAAGACAATTTCCTTGTTACGTTTTGACCATGACCTGAATGAATCTATCTTACAGAATCATAGTGATTCATTCATCCAGATATTACCCAAATATTTATCCATGATTTTTTTCTCTGTGTAGCCAGGTTTGCAAGATCTATGATGGCTATCTCAGAACGTTTATGATTTAAGCAAGGAAAGTAGATACTAAAAAGCAACAACAACAAGATTTTAAGCAGGGCCCTGGTGTCTCATGCCTGTAAACTTAGTTATGTAGGAGGCTTGAGGTTTGAAGTTAGCCTGTGTGGAAAAGACTGTAGTAAGACTTCATCTCTAAAATGATCAGCCAGAGAGCTGGAGACATGATTCATGTGGTAGTCTGCCAGCTGAGCAAGCTGAACAGGATCGAGGCCCTAAGTTCAAACTCTGATACTGCCAAGAAAGTAAAATCAAGCCCTACTAATTGTATAAAACAGTTAATTTCATGAAGGAACTTTTAAAGGTTGCAAGAAGGTATGAGAGTAGTTAACAAACTTTTCAGGATAAGTAAATTTTGACTTAAAAAATAATAAATCTACTCATTAGAGGTACAAGGAGCAAGAGGGCAGGAACTAAGAACACATATATCCCTGAAAGGGACATCAGAAGTTTTCTGTTTCTTCTGGTATTGTTTTTGGATGTAAAGCAAGCTATATACACTTCTGAGTTAAAGAGAGCTGTTGGTGTCAAATGTAGATCAGGGACTGATCTATGGCTGTCAGTTTTGGCTTTCATTAAAATCCATTGGTGACCAATAAAATAACTGACATCCAAGTTTCCAGCAATTCTCTTCTCTCCAGGTGGTCCTAGGACACCAATCAGATTGAAAATCTTGTACCGGAGGACTCATGTCCTTTTGGGTTCTTAGTGTCTTCTCATGGAACACCTCACCTCCCATCTTCTCGTGTCTTTAGAGAAATAATTAAAACATAAACCCCTAATGTTATATTTCTGAGAGGCATCTGAAAACATTTTGAGTTCTTCTTCATCTGGGCGTACCCTTTTATGCTGACTCTTTTCCCTTTTTAATGGATTGGTGTCTTTGCCTTATCTCCTTATTCCTTGTTCTTGTCTATTGTTCACCCTGAGCTATTAAATGCCAATCATTGCCATTTCTAGGCTGAAATGGTGGTCTGCTTCCTTGGAGAACATGGAAAACAAACAAACAAACAAGACTCAATTAAATCTAAAAGAGTAGGACTTCCCTTTTTTACTGATGAAGGAAGAACTGTCAGTAAGACAAACCACTGTCTTCTGAGGGAGGAGACATTTTGTGGTAAGGGAGAGCACCCCTCCACTGCCCTTGCCCACAGCCCCGGACTGCAGTTTTCCTTTGAGAGCTTCCTTTCTAAGAGTCAGTAGCCTTGGAAACTGTGTTGCTCACTGGCAGTGTTTACCCTTCTGTCTCAGGAGAGTTCTGAGCCAGGTGACTCCTAATGACTGTGTTTCATCCACAGGGCGAACTCTGTTGGAGAAGCTGTTTAGCCAGCAGGAGAACGGGCCTCCCGAAGAAGCAGAGAAATTTTGCTCGCGGATCATCGCCATGGGTCTTCTACTTCCTTTTAGTGACTGCTTCAGGGAACCATGTAATCAGAACGCTGGGTCAAGTTCAGCTCCCTTTGATGTAAGTAGGTGAACCTGCCATTTGTGTGTGTGTGTGTGTGCGTGTGTGTGTGTGTGTGTGTGTGTGTGTGTGAAGGGGATTATGGTTGAAAAAAACAGCTGTAGTGTGTGTCCACCCAGTCACCTTATAATTTAAAAACAAAAGTGATGTAAGCTTTTCTCCCTTGGGACATTCGATAGCTCAGCTTTGTCTGTTTCTACAGTTTCCTTTAGACTAGGGTATTAGGTATATTTGCCAAACCTCCTTTTCCTAACAGATGGTCCACTCCATACTTTTAAAGCCTGCTCTAATCAGGTATGCTCTTAAAATTATCATTTTATTTTTCTTTCTTTTTTATCATTTTATTTTTTCCCCCTTTTTTCCATGCTGGGGAATTGAACCTATAAACCCATAGGTAAGTTCTTTCCCACTGAGCCATGGCTTTAAAGTGATTGTAAGTTCAATGCTTATGACTTTGCTGGTCAAAGGCATTCCTTGAGAAGCAGCTGCAAAGGGCAAAATACTATTCCCAAAGGGCACAGGTTTCCACAGGCACTTGAATGCTATTTCAGGGCAATTTCTTTCTGTTCCATGAACAAGAAAACAGCTTTGTCTGCCTCCTTCCCTTCACCAAGACACCACAATTCTGGAATGGCAATTCAAAAAGCATGTTCATAATTGAAAATGAATTCTGGATTATCATTTTCAAGACAGAGTATTGCTAATCTTTCTCAGGTATGTGGAATGAGTGTGACATGGGTTCTCCTGAGCAGGTATTTAAAATTCCTTAAGTGTGAGAATTCTCTTGACTGTCCTAGGTTGATTGAAGGTCTGATTGGTACAATTGTGTAGAGACTAGGATTTGAAAGCAACCTATTTGAAAGCAATAGGTTCCCATCTGGATGCAGTAATTACAATTGTTCCCGTTGTTGCTGTCTGTACATCTTCTTTGCCTTGTTCAACATTATATGTTGTGGTTCAGTGAGTGCAATAATGAAGGATTTTAAAAGAGAGAAAAAATAGAGGTTGAGGTCAAAATATGGTAGAAAATGGTCATGTCTATCTGCAACTGTCTTTTCTTCCTCCTCTTCATTATCCATTACAAGTTGGGATCTTCAAATGAAGTATTTTGAGATTTTTTTGACTCTTTCCAATTGAAAGAAGAATTTCCATGTTATTTTGTAATTATGTAAAGCTTTCTTCTTAAGATTTTTTAAATTTAATTATTTTTCTTTATGCAATTTCTAAAGTGATGTAGCAGCTAATCACAGGTACAGAGGATTCTTCTTTCTTTTGAAGACAACTGGGTAATTTTACATTTTCCCCCCAGCTTTTTGAAGAGACAATCTGTTGTCTATGGTATGCTGTGTTGTAGAGCTGTGTTTTGAAAGATATATCACTTTGGCAAGTTCAGTTATAATGAATGCAGTACAAAGGAAAACATTTGCTATGGGTAGTATTTTCTGTTTGATTAAAAGCTCATAAATTAACTTTATTTTTCTCCTGAATGTTCAGAAGTACACAGTCTTGCCACTTGATAGATGTGAAATTGGAATAAAGAGGGTAGGATAGACTACAGCTTTCTTCTTTTACAATGTATGTATGTACAAATGTATGTATGTATGTGTGTGCATATACAGCCTGTGTGCTGTACCTCAGACCTGATCTCTCTCCTTTAAAAATCAAATCATTCTTTATTTGTATTATAGAGATAGGTGAATATGATAAAAAGAGTGAAAAGTAAGCATGCGCGCACACATACACACATATAGGCACACACAATATCTTAATATTGTATGCATTAATATCCTAAAATGAGAGATTTGTTTTCCCCAAGTGGAACTCATTGCATTTTCTCCTATGTTCCTTGGTTCTCTGTTCACCAAACTGATGTAAATCAAGAAGAAATGAAAGAAACCTTACTCTCCTAAGAAGCCTTTTTCCATGCTCTTAACTGGGATTTTAATAACAAAATCAGATATTTACTGGATACACAGTTAAGGATTTTCTTCCAAATCTAGAGGAAGTAAAAGAGCAGAAGTCTGTGAAGAGTTGGGTACCACCTAGGTGTGGAAAGGAATGTACTTGTCCCTAAAGAGAAGTTTCTTATAATTAGTCTCTCTGCTGGTTTCCAGAAAAGAGCTATTAAGAGCATTTCTAACCAACAATTCTCCTGAGGTCAAAAGCCCTTCAAGATCTCTGTGTTATAATAAGCTCACAATGGACGCTCTTCCCACCTCTTTGATTTTGTAACTTTATTTTCTATGCCCTTCATCCCTCTCCATTCACACATTTCATTGAAGAAAAGATTATTTTTTTTCTTTTGCTAATGCAGGAGTTTGCACTTAGTACCTACCTGTGCTTGCTCAGCTTGCTTGTTTGGGTGGTGCTCTATCACAATGACTTTTGCCTTGATATTTTTTCCTGTTTATTTTGGAGATGGAGTCTTTGACTTTTCTGCCCAGCCTGTCTTTGCACCAAAATCCTCCAGATTTCAGCCTGTTTAGTAGCTAGGATTTTAGATATGAGCTTTGTGCATCTACCAACCAGCCAGACTTCTGCTTGATTGGTATTATTTAAATGAAGGAATGTAACCATTTTCATTCCTGATTGTGATTTCAAATGATTCACATGATAGTTCATTGGTCAGTTCCTAACTACAAAATGAAACTTTCCAGAGATAGAGGCTGTTTATTGAAACCCTATGATCTGCATATGATTGTCTATTTTTTTTCCAAATTAACACGTTTTTTTCTGACATAATAAAATCCCAGTTCCTTGGAGCTTTGTGGTTGTATCTGTGCCTTAAACACTTTTCTACTTATCTAGCTCATGACATAACACCTTTTGTGCTCTGAAGGCTTCCTTTCACTATGCTAAAATGCTACTTGTTTTCTTGCCATCCAATGTCTTTCTAAACTGAAAGAATAGAAAAGCCTTTGGGAAATTACTGCAAATTGGGAAAGTAACTCTTTCATGACTATTTGGTCTCCTTTCAATAGTGACTGAATTTCCATGGGTTTGTCTGTTGACAAATACTGTCTGTGTGTGAATATTGGGCATGCTTTATAGATAGTTAGCAGGAAGGAATGAAGGGTACTTTTTTTTTTTGACAATAATGCCTCACCAAAGATTAATAAGGATATCTGTTTCATCAGGAATCCTAAGAATAAGAGAGGAATGGAAAAGGGTTGCATTTAATTTGCTACAAACAATTAGGTATACTTTCTTGCTCTTCTCTTTCAAAGATCTCTACCATATAAAATTAAGAATGATATTCTTAGTTGACTCATTCTCATAAGGTGAAATTATTGATAGGAGCAGTCAGCAAATATCAAGAGGAAATTATCTATTCTTATTTCACTCAAAGAGCCTTTATTAAAATTCAGTTTAATTTTAGTTGTAACTTTTTTTCCATAAAGAGCTGACGTGGATATGTAGTAATATTATTCAAATTGATTTCATTCAATGAAGACCATATGCTTGTTGGATGGTTTGGGAAAATTATAATATATTATTAATTTTTAAGAATGCTCTTCCTCCTGTTCATAGTTAGATAGTTTGGTATGAAGTAGAAGACTTATAAATTTAACAGAACGGTTTTGTTAATTCTGTGATTTTTAAGAAGACTATCATGTGACTTTTTACTCTCTGAATTGCTCTGCTACTTTTCAGTGAATGTTTATAGGACTTGGCTGTATATTAATCAATAATCAAGTATTTTTTGTTTGTGTGTGAGTGTGTGTGTGTGTGTGTGTGTGTGTGGGTGTGTGTATCTGGGGCTTAAACTCAGGAAGGGTCTTTGAAGCTGTTCCTCAGATTTTCAATCTTAGCTAGCACTGTACCACTTGAGTCAAATCTGTGCAAGTTTTTTTTTTATTGCATTTGTATTATTATTATTATTATTATTATTTTCTTTCTCTTTTGGCTGTGAGGGACCAATACCAAGGTTTGAAATCAGTGTCTCACACTCTTCCTTGGCCTTTTTGTTCACAGCTGACACTCTACACTTGAGCAACCCCTTCAGTCTGTTTGGGAAGCTAACTGAAGATAGAGTCTTGCATGCATGTCTACCTATTTGGCGTTGAATCTCCATCCTCAAATCTCAGCCTTCTAAGTAGCTAGGATTGGGCTGGGAAGTTGGCTCAGAGGTAGAGCGCTTGCCTTGTATGCCTGAGGCCCTGGGTTCGATTCCTCAGCACCACATAAGCAAAAAGCTGGAAGTGGTGCTGTGGTTCAAGTGGTAGAGTGCTAGCCTTGAGCTGAAGAGCTGAGGGACAGCGCTCAAGCCCAGAGTTCAGGCCCCATGACTGGACCCCCCCCCCCCCCAAAAAAAAAAATCTAAGTAGCTAGGATTAAATCCTGGCACCTGGTAGCAATTAAGTTTTTATACATGAGTTCAATTATCTGTGTTTAAGGCACACTATGAGATCATCATGTATAAATATATTGAAGTTATTTTATTTTCTTCTTTGATGGATGATTTAGTAAATTCCCAGTATGTGCTGTTTTTGTGCTTTTTAATAAAAAAAAATAAAAGTAGGTATTTTTTCCTCTCCAGCCTAGTCAATGTCAGAGTATTGTTTCAGGCTAGAGGTTGTAGCTCAGTTGGTAATAAAGCAAATGCTTAGCATGCACAAGGCCTTCGAGTTAATTCTAGAACCAAACAAACAAAGAAAAAGAATATTGTTATAAAAATAGCCATGGCACCTAGCCTTTTTCTCTTAACACAGTTTTCTGAGCTTGAAGAAATGCTGCCATTCAGTATTGTTGTGAATTTTAAAGTGACTCTCAACCATAAAGTTCACTGAAGTTTAATAAAAATGAATTTTTAGGAAGTCATTTAGAGGAGTCACACTTTTTAAGGGGATGACATATTTTCATTATCTTTGTTCATTTGAGAGGATTATGCTCTTTCAAATAATCCTTGATGGCTTTTAGAACTATGCTTTTGATCACCCATTTGGCACAGTGTTGGGTGACTCAATTCATTTTGCATTTGTAAGATGGACTTAAATAAA